AAAAAAAAAAAAAGCTTAAAAAAAATAAAAAATAAAAAAATAAAGTAAGATCAATGAGTATTTTATTTCTGAATCTATAAGCATTTGTCATTATCCTGGAAATCAAAAAGATTTAAGTAGACACTAACTGTTCCAGATTTTATGGCATTAACTATGCCAACAAAGTTTATCAACTACTTTGTTGTTTTAACTAAATTTGATTTTCTCCATTTTAAGCCAAGGCTGATCAGAATTTTAGAGTTAGTGATAGAGTGATTTGATGAAAATAAAAAAGTTCTCACTAACTAAAGGAGGTAAGACTAACAACAACAAAAAGAAAAAACAAAAACCCTGCGTTACCCTGGGCAGCCTGCCTAGGTGCCCATAAAAATAAGTAAGTTAGGATGGTGCTTTTTTCCACAAGTTAGGGGACAGCTAATTTCAACCTATAAAGCATTCCCCTCTGCTGAAGAAACCTAGATATTTTCACAAAAATTGAGATACCATCAAAATTTTAAGATCTTGTGATTTACAGTTGTCCAGTGTCTGTGCTCTTGATATTTATTTGGGATTTTTTACTGATGTCTGTTTGTTTAGACAGAGTCTCACTCTTTTGCCCAGGCTAGAGTGCAATCAGCCTAGCTTGCAGAAACCTAAAATCCTGGGCTCAGCCTCCTGAATAGCTGGGACAATAGGTGTGCACCACAGTACCTGACTAATTTTTTATTTTTAGCAGAGACAGGGTCTTGGTTTGCTCAGGCTGGTTTTGAACTCCTGAGCTCAAGGGATCCTCCCACCCAGGCCTCTCAGAGTGCTAGAATTATAGGCAAGAGCCATTGCACAGACCTGTGCTGCTCTTGGTATTTAGAACAAATTAATAAGTAGTGTCAAAAGAATAAATATCAAGGCTTGGCACCCATAGCACAAGTGGTTACAGCACCAGCCACATACACCGAGGGTGGTGGGTTCGAATCCAGCCTAGGCCAGGTAAATAACAATGACAAGTGCAACAAAAAGAACAGCCGGGCTTGTGGTGGGCGTCTACAGTCCCAGCTACTTGGGAGGCTGAGGCAAGAGAATCACTTAAGCCCAAGAGTTGGAGGTTGCTGTGAGCTGTGTGACTCCACGATACTCTACCAAGGGTTATAAAGTGAGACACTGTCTCTACAGAAAAAAAAAGAATAAACATCAAGATTTGATGAGAATAACATTGATCTGAGACTCAGGAAACCTATGTTCTACTTCCAGCTTTGCCAGCTACAAGGTATGAGTAGTAAAAGAGTATTAGTAAACTGTAACATACTAATATAAAGTGGAATTTCAAAAACTTCACTATATTTTTTTCCTTCCAGACAGTCTCACTATGTTGCCCTTGGTAGAGTGAGCAACCTCAAACTCTTGGGCTTACGCAATTTTCTTGCCTCAGCTTCCCAAGTAGCTGGGACTACAGGTGCCCTCCACAATGCCTGGCTTTTTTTTGTTGCAGTTGGTTAGGTGACTCAGGCCCGGTTTAAACCTGCCACCCTTGGTGTATGTGGCTGGCACCATAACCACTGCGCTATGGACGCTGAGCCCACTATAAATTTTATTTTATTTATTTATTTATTTATTAGAGACAGAGTCTCATTTTCTCGCCCTCGGTAGAGTGCCGAGGCATCACACAGCTTACAGCAATCTCCAACTCCTGGGCTTAGATGAGTCTCTTGCCTTAGCCTCCCAAGTAGCTGGGACTACAGGCACCCATCTGTTTTTTTGTTGCAGTTTGGCCAGGGCTGAGTTTGAACCCACCACTCTTGGTATATGGGGCCAGCGCACTACCAGCTGAGCCTCAGGTGCCACACCTATTTTTTATTTTATTTATTTATTTATTTTTTTAGAGACAGTCACACTTTGTCGCCCTCGGTAGAGTGCCATGGTGTCACAGCTCACAGCAACCTCCAACTCCTGGGCTTAGGCTATTCTCTTGCTTCAGCCTCCCAAGTAGGTGGGACTACAGGTACCCGCCACAAAATGCCTGGCTATTTTCTGTTGCAGTTTGGCCAGGGCCAGGTTTGATACCACCACCCTCTGTATATGGGGCCAGCACCCTACTCACTGAGCCACAGGTGCTGCCCCTCACTATAAATTTTAAAAATGGAACATCATACATAGGCATTGGACCAAACCTGTAAAAATAGAAATAATAGAAATTGATTCTATTTATATAGTGATTACAATGATTTTTAAAGTATCTTAGCCCCATAAATGACAAAGAGTTTACTGTACAGAAAAAGAATAGAACTTCAATGCATATAAATAATCTATATAATTCAACTGTTAGAAGTCTTAGAAGTCATAGCTAGTACACTACCAACCACTACTATGATATGTATGTATTTATTTATTTTATAAAACAGCTTTTTTTTTAAGAGACGGGGGTCTAACTTTGCTGCCTATGCTGGAGTATAGTGCTCAATACCTCACAATAACCCAGAACTCCTGGACTCAAGCAGTCCTCCTGCCTCCCTCTCTAAGTAGCTAAGATTACAGGCATGTGCCTCAACTTCTCTGGCCACTTTTTTGTAGACACAGAGTTTTGCTATGTTGCCCAGGCTGCTCTTAGTTTCCTATTACTGCATTTGGAGAAGCCTGACATCAGAGTCCTCAGAATAGAAAACAAAGCCATTTAATCCACTTCCTTTGTTTTCTATTTATAGACAAGAAACTCGAATCCTTATGAAATAATTTCTTCAAAGTCATACTGCTATTATTAATGCCAACATTAGAATCCAGAACTCTTTCTTTATTATTTTTTTTTTAAGCCTCTCACTCTGTCGTACCAGGCTAGGGTACCCTAACTTTATAGCTCACAGCAACCTCAAACTCCTGGGCACACACAATGCTTTTGCCTCAGCCTCCTAAGTAGCTGAGACTATAGGTGTAGTCACCATTCCCTGATAATTTTTCTATTCTTAGTAGAAACAGGGTCTCTTCTTGCTTAGTCTTCTCTCCAACTCCTAAGCTCAACCAATCCATCTGCCTTGGCCTCTCAAGAGTGCTAGGAGAATAGGCTGAGACACCTCACCCTGCCCAGAATCCAGAACTCTTCACACCTTATTTGTGCTTTTTCTCACTCTTAAAACAAAGTATACAAATTAAAACAAGTTTCCCAACTAACCTGCTTTACATGTTGACATGTTCCTATATAATCCATATAGCTATCATTATCTAGCCCTATAACCCACTCTCTCTCTAAATCCCAGTACCCTTCAGTCTGTCCCCAAAATACCTGATTGATTCCTAGCTACAGTTTAGTCACATCTTCTATAGCAAGTGTAGCCCAGTTCTCAAAGAGTGATCCAGTGACCAGCAACTTGAGTATCACCTAAGACTTTGTTAGAAATGCTGAATCTTCTCCAGGCAAAGTGGCTCATATCTGTAATCCAAGCATTCACGTGAGCTCAGGAGTTTGAGAGTTGCTGTGAGCTATAAAGCCTGAAAAAGAGTGAGGACCTGTCTCTACTAAAAATAGAAAAATCAACTGGGCACAGTGGTACACTCCTATAGTCCCAACTACTCAAGAGAGTGAGGCAGTCTGATCACTTAAACGCAGAATGTGAGTTTGCAGTGAGCTATGACCATTCCACTGCACTCTAGCTAGGACAGGAGAGCAAGACTGTCTCAAAAGAACCAACACAAAGGGCCTGACGGTGGCTCACTCCAGTTATTGTAGCACTCTGGGAGGCCCAGGAGAGTGGATTGCCTAAGCTCACAGGTTCTAGACCAGCCTGAGGGGAAAAAAAGACCCCATCTCTAAAAATATCCCAGCATTGTGGCAGTTGCCTATAGTCCCAGCTACGTGGGAGGCTGAGGCAAGAGAATCGCTTGAGCCCAAGAGGAATGTTTTTGTGAAAAAACTTTTTTTTTTTTTGAGACATACTCTCAGTATGTCACCCTGGGTAGAGTGCCCTGGCATCACAGCTCACAGCAACCTACAACTCTTGGGCTTTAGCAATTCTCTTGCCTCAGCCTCCAAGTAGCCGGACCTACAGGCACCCGCCACAACTCCCAGCTATTTTTCCATTGCAGTTGTCATTGTTTAGTTGGCCTGAGCTGGGTTCAAACCAGCCAGCCTCAGTGCATGTGGCTGGCACTATAAGCACCGTGCTGTGGGTGCCAAGCCAAGATTCAAATTTTTATCATAGTCTACAAACCCTTCGAGATTAGCCTCTGCCTTTCTCATCTCAAAACACTTTTACTGGCTCAGCGCCTGTGGCTCAAGTGGCTAAGGTGCTAGCTACATACACCTAAGGTAGCAGGTTCAAATCCAGCCTAGGCCCACCAAACAACAATGATGGCT